ATAGGGAGGTTTTGTGTAGCTGACCTTGGCCGCCGTGAGGGCGGGTGGGAATGCGATGAAGACGCGTCTGCTGTAGCTCCCGAACCATCTGGTAGCCCCCAGCGGTGGACCATCTGCTGTTTATTTGTCTTTCCAGTCCCAACTGGTGGTCAGGGTAATGCTTGGCTGCATGAAGGCAAATGAATCCGAAACAGTCAGTTACTCCCAAAACGTTGTTATCCCCGTCCGCTATTTTAGCTTGACCGGCATCAGCCTTGCAGGTGGTCACCCTTTTCGGGACCCCTAGCCCCAGCCACACTAAATTTGTTTACTTCGGGACGCCAAGTGGATCGGTGTGCGGCTTTTTTCTTTAATATGCCCATAAACTGTTAATCTACTTTATCCCATACAGATTAGGAGTGCATACTGGTTTACGGCTTCCTACAGCCACCTACAGGTCATATCATAATATACCAGTTACTGGTCTTAGTAACTACGGTTACTAGAATTAGCACTTTGGCATGGGCAGCATTATCTTAGTCCTCGTAGTCCAACTCCTATTTGAAACGGACACGGCCTGGGAGGATAGAGTTGAGAGAGTGGTAAACATGGCAAGCTCTGATGTTCTCAGGACCTCAAACATGTATTTACTCGGAAAAACTTAAACTCAGATTTCACCTTCCTTGTTGATAACGAAGGCGGTATGAGCCTCAGCCTTAATTTCAAATCAGCGTCACTTTTGACAAATGTTAGCGTCGGAAATAGTACCAGTACTACTAAGACTCGGCTTCATTGATAGTCAGTAGAAGCAGTAGTAACCGTATCAGTCTCGGCCTCCTTTGGCCTGTCTTCACATCTATTATGGGTGAGGGTAGATAGTACAGTAGTATCTGCGCAAAGTCTACGGTCACTTAAGGCTAAGTTGGGCGGTGTTTCGGCTTGCATTGGAGAAAGCAGCCTACGCCGGCCCCCGTTTAGTCTTCGAGACTCCAGGCGAAGGCAAAGAGTGTGGTTGGCGCGGACTACGTCCTCTATTACTTTAAAGCTACCCCTTGAGACTGTCACCTTGTGTACCAATCTGTTGGGGCACTTGATGGACTTCATCGAAATCGATGGTCGAACTATTGCTGGTTGTACTATTTAGGGCAAGAGCATGTACTGGGACCTCATAAGGGTATGTTTTTATCACACCAACCCATTTACAAATTTCAATTAGGTTGAATTGTCCACAATCTTCCAATTTTTGGAACGCCGGCCGTAGGTTCAGTAGGGATTGGATGGTGATATTGAACTGCGGAGGGGTCCTAGGAAGGCCACCATGTGCAATAGCCGCTTAAGTCAGTATATTAAGTGAAAGGGTTTTTAAATTAACCATGGCAGTAGCCGGTCAGTTGAAAATTTTAAGTAGGGTGAATTTCCAAAATCTTCTCACTTTTTCACTCATTCGCCATTACCCTGCTTGGGGTTATAAATACTACTAAAATGCACCTCAGGGACCTCGCCGGATGTCAGCGGACACTCCCCCGGCATACACGCGCTCACCGTTGGTCCAGTAGGGGGTTAGCAATGATATTAAAATTTACTTCAGTGTCCTCGCCCAAGGTAGGGACACATCCTCCAACTTACCCTCGTAACTTTCTTAATTTTGCTGGAATATTGCGAACGGATTTGTTCTCTGACATACCCCTACCATCTTGTCCCCTAAAATCAGGTGTCCGTAAGACCGTGAGACCAACTTCGCGCCGCACTCAGGCGGCCCAGGACGAATTCTTACCCTACATAGTATGCTCGGGCACTTAGTTCGAGGCCACCAGCAGTATGGACGGGGACATATTCCCGTTCCTGTGTTTATGCCAAACTGATTAACGAACTACTGCTGGTTGTACCCTTGTCGCGTCTCTCTTCACGGCATATTGGCCTCCCTGTGCCTTCGTCGCACTAGCTGCGCAAACAATCTTCCGATTATACACCCCCCCTCTGCCACCACCACCTTGTTTTGTCTGTACT